ACCGGGGCGTAGTGTACTTTCCAATCTTTCGATATCCGCAGAGGTATACTGTTCCACTATTACAATTTGAATCTCGGAACTGTTGTTGATTGCCATGCCTTCTAACTGTCGAATGGTGATTCAGTATCTGCTACGCGAGGAAATCTGCATCCATACTACAATCTATACTACAATCACGAAAATAATTGGAGGGCCCTGCCATTTTCCCGACAGGTCTCCCGTCCCGCCCGCGCCCGTTGGGCGCGGGGGATGCGGAACGGGGCCCGGCTATTTCCACCCTATTTCCCATAATTCCCTATTTCCCATAATTCCCTTCCCCATAATTCCCTTCCCCGGCCGTCTTGCGTATGGGCCGGATAATTGACGTGCCACGTCGTATACGTTCGTTATGAGCATGCAGCGTATGGGCCGGATAATTGACGTGCCACGTATACGTTCGTACACGTTCGTACACGTTCGCATGCAACTTGCCCCACATTTCTTCAGCACAGCGTTGTTGACATGATTGTTGACATGAAAATTGCTCCGAAAACTGACTACAATTATATCCCCTGAGTTTTGTCGAAGTACTACCCTGTACAGTAATGAATGCAAATACATTATTACTAAAAAAGATTGTGTATACCTGATTTCATTTTCACAGTTTTGTAATAAATACATTTAACATGTGGTGCTTGACATAATTATGAAGTGTTCCAATATGTCCTTTCTTTTAGTTTTACTCTCTTCTGCAAATAAACGTGTTACAATACTTTGCTGTACAACCCCATCCCCATAATAAAAACACTAACTGCTATAATGACATTAACTTCTACTTAATACATAAGAAACACCCCCTTCACCATAACAAATATAAATTGTTGCCCACTTCCCCGGAAATATAAGTGACCATTCACAGATGAAACATAAATAGGCATGGGCGTCGCGAAGGCCCCCCCCCCCGGAAAAGCAAAAAAAAAAAAAAAAAAAAAAGGCGCCAAGTCAATGTTAGTGGTGTAAATTTAATGGGTTGGGGGAGGCAAAATGTCCCTGCCCCCTCTAAAACTGATAAATCGAGAATGTGTTGAGAAAAACAGGCATATTTTGGGAAAAAATATGTCTTTCCCCCTCTAGAAAAAATCCTGGCGACGCCCACACAATATCCACCCCCACCCCCACTGGCTGCCCCCTCCCCTCCTCTGTAGTGAGAACGATGGATACGACGTTGTATAGGCCAAGATCAAACCGCGTTTCATCTATAACCTATATGTACAGTTGGTGTATAGACCTACGTCCTTAATGGTTTGGCACTTTGAAAAATCAATGTTCAAATTGACTGGACAATATTCTAGCACAACATTATTTATGAGCTTTATATAATGAGACATCGCATGAGACAATGGGTCGTCAATAAATACTTAATTTCATTCAACTGTTGACAGCAAGACCTTCCTAATCGGCACGCAATTTAAAACAACATTTAAACGGTATGAATCCCAGCACAAACATAAACCTCCACAATATTAGCGATTTCAATATCACCATCTCCCCTCTATAACAAAAACAATTTCTCCCCGTCCCTGGAAATATTTCTCCCCATCCCCGGAAATATTGGTGACATGGTTGACGGGTTTCACGGAAATTGGGCGTTCCAACTAGCACCCTTCACCCTAGCTAGCCCCTTCCCCTATATTGACAATATGTCCTGGACCCTCGCACAATCTCCGCAGGAAACGTTATGTGCGCGCACGTTGCTAAACGTAAATACAACTTAGGCGAGACTGATGGCGAGTCCAAATAGGCTCGCGTGCAGCAGAACGTCTGATTCTTTATTTGACTTAACAGTTGTTTGGAGTTATTAGGGTTTAAATCATCGAGATTTCATTGTATACAGTAATTATCACGAAACAGTCAACTCCACCCATCTACCGGGTGCCGCGCGAAGTGCGGCATCCCTTTGGTTACTGGCATTTCACTATTCACATTGTGGTCTGTTTCATTCACTGGCAGGGGTGAGGCTGGGTAACTGCGAACTCGTAAAATATACGTAATTCTGAGCACCGGGACAATTTGATCGGTTCTCTGCATGATGTATATATCAAAAGATTTGTTCAAGGAACGGGGACCTTGTAGCAGAAGTTTACAATGTTGCTTTCAAGGGGACGACTGGATGAATGATTGCGTCAGTTGGATTGGGAACGCCCTCATAGAAATAATGGAACACCCTCATTGAAATAACAGAACTAAAGGAAAAGGACCTCAGGTCAATTTCCAGCCGATAGAAAAGAATAGTCCTAACTCTCCTCAGTTCTGAAGAAAACAAAATAAACACGACTGGTTATTTGATTGCTGTAAATTTGCATACATAAAGTCTCCCAGCACTGATGTCAAACTTTCCTTTTTTTTCCTTGCTTGCACAAACATCATATTGAATTCCCCACCATTTGCAATCGGCAGAGGCCCTATTGTGCGCACCATACATACACGGACACAATTAAAATGCTAAAAATAAATATACTCGACCTCAAGTTCATTTATACGCCATTCGTGATTCATGCAGCCAAGGACGTTTTTGTGAGCTGGTGTAGAAGGGTCTCTAAAATGCATCGAGTTCCTTTTCAACACGTTTGCTTTAAGGAAGTATGACTTGTTTACTGCAGTCTCCGCGTTTGCACTTATCACATGACGGACTCGTATGTGTTTTGGGTTTAATTTTTTTGTTAGAAAGGAACGACTGTAGATTGTTGAGTCCCTTTAAGCAAAAAAAATATTACGTTGATATTGAAACGAAAACATTTTTGTGAGCTGCTGTACAGGTGTCGCTAAAAGGCATCGAGTTCCAATTCAACACGTTTGCTTTCTAAGGAAGTATGACTTGTTTACTGCAGTCTCCGTGTTTGCACTTATCACATGACGGACTCATATGTATTTTGGGTTTATTTTCTTGTTAGAAATGAACGACTGTAGAATGTTGAGTCCCTTTAAGTAAAAAAAAAATATTACGTTGATATTTAAGTTCAGACCTGCTTCGGGGAAGAATCCGGCAAAGTCATTGGACTTTGATAAGTGTTGTTACTATTGCACCGAGTACTTTCAATGAATGTAACAAGACTGTACGGATATCATAGCAGCTGAACCATAAACTATACAAAAAAAATATTAGACGTACATTCGTCGCATTTTTGAAACTTTTGAAAACTCAGGCAATCTAAATTTGCAAAAAAAATGGGTTTTTGCACTCCAAATTTAATATGGATCTGAAGTCATGAATTAACTTATCGCAAGCGTTTGCTCATTGTAGCCCTTGTGTATTATGGGAAGAGAAAGAAATAGGTTTGGATTTTAAACATTTTCGTGGTAAATCTTGCCTACGTTTACAATGCAATTTCTCTTGCGTTGAACTATACCAGGTGCTAGCCTGAAATTTTGGGCCAAAGGTCATTATTTACAAAATGTATCCAAATTATATAATCAGCAGTAAGCATAATATTGTATACGGCTTTAAGACCAACTATTTCAATCAGCAAAAAGTTTTGGAGCCAAATTTCCGCCTGGCACCTGGACTAGTGATATTTTGCTCAGACTAGAGGGCCCGCCTATGGGCTCCTTGCGCAAACAAAAGAGAGCGCCTTTTTACCTAGCAACGATGTCCCATGGGTGGGGCACATACATTTCGCTGGTTGACGAACGCGCACCATTCATCTTTTGTGATGCATGTACACCAGGGGATTTGTACTATGTACACGCAGTGGCCGCGCTTTGCGGCAAAATATTGCAGTCAGGCAAGATGGCTTCGTTTGGTCACCCCCAACTGTACTTTCTTTGCCGGTGAGGGAGTACTTGTGAAGGAAGCGGATATTGCCATCTTTGCACCTACGTCACTGACTTACTGCCTGACTCACTATTACACTCTAAAAACTCCTGGATTGGAATTCAAATTAAAAGATGCTACTTTATGGGTCAAAATGGCCTACCAAAACAAATGCCATTTTAGACCCGAAGGGATCATTAGTGACCCGGAAAAGGACTGAGCACATTTTGGATTCAGATTCCAGGTCAATGTGACCCAGGAGTTGTTAGAGTGTAGACCGATGCGGCAAGTTGTTGCGGTACCATGTGGCAAAATCTCTTTTGTGAAAAGAACAGGAGGGTACTCGTTTCGGACAGTAGGCTATACTCTGCCTGTCGTCAGGAGACTGACGACGGAGACTGACGACGATCAGTCTCCTGACGACGAGCAGAGTATACTGTCCGAAACATTGAGTGCCCTCCGGTTCTTTTCAGAACCACACATACTCACAGAAGAGAATTTGCCACATGGTGCTACGGCAACAACTGACCTTATTATTATACCCTTCACCATGCATGCAAACCTTTAAATCTCATATGAGTGTAGACTGGTTATAGCTATACACTATAAAAGCAACTATCAAAATACTGACTGGTTTTCCTAGTTGTTGAAAACTGACTGCGAATTTAGTGTTAGTCCTTTTCCGGGTCAAATATGATCCCTTTCTTTGTCAAAATGACCTAGAAAATGCAATTTTTGACCCTGAAAGGAGTGAGAAAAAGTGGATTCAGATTCCGGGTTAATCTGACCCAAGAGTTGTTAGAGTGTGGACTGGTTATAGGCCAACGTAGAAAGCCGGGCTGGCTATCTTATACGATTATTACTCCGTGACGTCAATGAATGAAATAATAACTTATCCCTTGTGTAGAACAGATGCATGAAGGACTTCCAGCCTATAGCTGCTGCGGATCTATAGTGGGAATGATGGGGGTTTGTTTATGAGGTCCAACCCTGCCCCCTTTTTATAGTTGAAGACATGCCTGCTACCCCCTTAACCTCAAGAGTACAAATTATTAATATCCAGTGGTTGCTCTACGGGGGATGTAGGGGATCTACCCCCCCCCCCCGGCTACAAAAAAAAAGCTGGGCTTTTCTAGGTCTTTTTGTCTTGTTGCAATTAATGTACCCTTGCACGTGTGTCAATTAGCTAACTTTTGGTACTTAACTATGACTATACTCCGATTGCAAGGATATACTTCAGCACTGCCATTCCCGCTGCAGTAATCTGCGCACTGGTGGGATAATCGCATCGAGAAAGATTCATGTAGTGCTCGCAGTTGCTGCCAAGAAGGTTGTAATCAATCGGGGCTTTGTCTCGGTACATTTTCTTGGCCTTTTCACTGATGGCGTGGGGACTGAGAGGTTGTCTGTCATGGTCTCTTGAGTTGTTGATCCTCACCGTTCCAGAAGTGCCGAGAATCTCACCAATCGTGTCGGCTAGTATCTCAAGCTTTTGGCTGGCAGAGAACGCACTACCCGAGGTCTTCATTTTGGAGAATGCCGCCCTCCTTCAAATTGACCGAAGTGGATGACAGCGTCTTCCATCACTTCGTGTTCACCGACGTATCTACCCTAGTGTGCGTACTTGCCGCGCTCGAACTCCAGCCTATCGCCGAGAGATACTTCGTCCTCCAAGTATTTGGTATTGGTAGAGGTAGGCCTACTCTCTGTATTGATATTCTAGCCACTTACAATCCCATAATTGTTGTTGTTGTTTGCCATGTCTTCTGCCTGTCGAATGGTGATTCAGTGTTTCCGAGACGAGGAAATCTAACGCGTCTGTGACCTGAAACTTCCGAAAGGCCCAAGGTTGAGTTCAGCGTTGCTCTTCAAATACTCGAGAAAGTGGGAAATCCCATTATACGGGTTCCCGTTCTCCGCATTGTCGCTTGTTATGGAGTACTTGTGTGTTCATGTTCGGCGTAACGGATCTTACAATCATCCCATGAATATATACAGTCATGTATATATCATTCTAAACCCCTGGGGAAATTTGGTCGGGTCCCTGAGCAGAATATATCTAGGATTCTTAAAGGGGGCCTTGCAGCTGAAGTTCATGATGTTGCTTCGTTTTCCTCAAGGGGTCTATTTCAGTAAGTCCACAGAAAAGATTCGGCCCTCCCCCCAAAAAACCTATAGTTTTGAAGAAAACCAAATTAACAAGACTGATTATTTTTTTGTTACTGTCACTATGCATACACATCAGAAAGTCTCAGCCATACTGATTTCAAACTGTCCTGGCTACTATGAACAAAAGGCGTTCAATTGTTAAGCTCTGGCAACTTGAGCTTCTACAAGTCACTTTAGTAAATGTGGTAAATGTAAAAGTCACGTGGGATGTAATGCACTAGAAACTTAGGGGCTTCTACACACATGTGTCTATACATCACCCCTGCCTCTGGCCCTGTGTCAGGTCTACGAGTCTCCATGGCTTGTAGGAGGAGAGGCCAAAAAAAGATCTGCTCTCGATTACATGGCATTCGAAAAGGGATCTACACGATGTTTCCCAATCCTGATGTTCCCCACTACCGATTTTCCCCGAAATCCTTATGATTAGGGTTAGGGTTAGAGTTTGGGCGAGGGTTAGGGTTATATATGGGCTATATGTGATTTTGGGGAACATCAGTATTGGGGAACATCGGTATTGGGGAACATGGGTATGCTCGAAAATAGAGTAGGTAGGTAGGGATTTTTATTTTTTGGCAGTTGTTTTTGTGACCGATCATATGGAGGCGTCTGCGTGTAGTCAAGGGTAAAGGGTAGTAATTGATGATTTGTGGTGTTTCTGTTTCCTCATTTTTTCCCATAAAACAATTGAGTAGGGGCTGTCAATTCACAATCACGACCAAGCGAGTAACTGAATCATTTCATACAAGACTTTCATGCAAGACGGCCAGAGCTTTTTGTGCACTCGCACTTGTTTTTTTTTTTTTTTTGCTTGCACAATATCGTGTGGAATTTCTAATCGGTATAGACCCTGTCGTGTGCAGCATAATGTAGACAGGCACAATACAACCAAATGCTAAAAATAAACGTCTGTGACCCCACGTTCATTCATGCCCTGAACTTGCATTTGTGATACTCTTTTGTGTTAAATCCGAGTGTCAGACAGAGCCCCGGTGTACAAGGGTCTCTGAAAGGTGGCTAGTTCCTTAAAAACCGGTTTGTTTTATGGAAGTATGACTTGTTTGCTGCAGTTTTGCTAAAATCATTTGTACTCGTATGATGGACTATTATGGTTCTTTGAAAATGATAGTCAGCAGAGTGCTGATTCTTTAAAAAAATATATATTTATCAAAATTTAATTTATAAAAAATTAATTAAGTTTTTAGATCTCCGAAGGAAAACAATCAGTATTAAACTCGTTCTTCAACAACCCTATAGTTTTGGAGAAAACCAAATTAACAAAACTGGTTATTTTTTTTGTTACTGTCACTTTGCATATACATCAGAAAGTCTCAGCCATACTGATTTCAAACTGTCCTGGCTAGTATGAACAAAAGGCGTTCAATTGTTAAGCTCTGGCAACTCGAGCTTCTAAAACTCACTTAGTAAACGTGGTCAATGTAAAAGTCACGTGATATGTAATGCACTGGAAACTTAGGGGCTTCTACGCACCTGTGACTACACATCACCCCTGCCTCTGGCCCTGTGTCAGGTCTACGAGTCTCCATGGCTTATAAGAGGTGATGCCAAAAATAGTTCTGCTTCCGATTACATGGCATTGAAAAAGGGATCTACACGATTTTCCCAATACGGATATTCACCACTACCGATGTTCCCCGAAATTCTTAGGATAGGGTTAGGACTAGGGTTTGGGCGAGGATTAGGGTTATAGGGTATTAGATTTCGGGGAACATCGGTATTCGGGAACATAGGTATGCACCCATTCGAAAATAGGGTAGGTAGGTAGGGATTTATTTTTTGGGCAATTGTTTTTGTGTCCGATCATATGGATCGAGGCGTCTGCGTGTAGTCAAGGGTTAAACTAGTAATTGATGGTTTTGGGGGATTTTGTTTTCTCATTTGTCCCCATAAAACAATTAGGACAGGGGCTGTCAATTCACAATCACGACCAAGTGAGTATTGCATCATTTCATACAAGACTTTCATGCAAGACGGCCAGAGCTTATTGTGCAATCGCACTTCTTTCTCTTGCTTGCACAATATCGTGTGGAATTTGCAATCGGCATAGACCCTGTCGTTCGCAGCATAATGTACACAGGCACAATACAAACAAATGCTAAAAATAAACGTCCGTGACCCCACGTTCATTCATGCCCTGAACTTGCTTTTGTGATACTCTTTTGTGTTAAATCCGAGTGTCAGACAGAGCCCCGGTGTACAAGGGTCTCTGAAAGACGGTTAGTTCCTTAAAAAAACAGGTTTGTTTTTTGGAAGTATGACTTCTTTGCTGCGGTTTTGCTAAAATCATTTGTATTCGCATGATGGACTGTTATGGTTCTTTGAAAATGATAGACAGCAGAGTGCTAAAAAAAAAAATATTTATCAAAATTTCATATATAAAAAATTAATTAAGTTTTTAGATCTCCGAGGGAAAACAATCAGTATCAAACTCTTTTGATCTTGATAATTATACCAATTATACCCAGCGAATGTTCGAATATTACCGCTGAACTTCGAATACGGGCGATTCCAAATAGTGCGCCTCCAAGAGTTTGCAGCGCGTTGGCCAATCACAATGCGCGAAATCAGTCGACCTTTTCCAAACGGGCGTTGGGTCGACAGATTTTGCGCATTGTGATTGGCCAACGCGTTGCAAACTCTTGGAGGCGCACTATTGGGAATCGCCCGTATTGTGAAAATAAGGGGACGCAAAAACTCGTTCAGTTTATCTTTAAACTTAGCCCTGCTCTCGGTCAGCAGGGTACATATTTCCTGATTTCTTTTTTTTTTTGCTGTCGCTACCTAACCGCATCATGGTCTCGTGTCCATGCTCCATGAGTTTGTAAACTGTACATTTGCAACTTTTATTTGCAAGGGGTGTCCATGTTCTGAGACTGACATTTGTTTGAATTAGAACGTAAGGTGAACACTGAGCTGAGGTGGCGAATGTATTTGTACACATTCGTTTGGAACATGACCCCAAAACTAAGAAATAGTGCAGTCTGGGCGCAAACCAGATCAGATACGCGTTACCTCTAGCCATTGGCGTCGTGAGGGGGGGGGGGCAAGGGGGGCGCTTGCTCCCCTGGAAAAGCAAAAAAAAAAAAAAAAAAAAAAAAAATTAAAAAAGAGAGAAAAAAAGAAAGAAAGAGGCCCGAAGTCATATAGTGGTGTAATTTTAATGAGTTGGGGGGGGGGGGGCAAAATGTCCCTGCCCCCTCTAATACTGAGAAATCGAAAATATGTTGAGAAATACAGGAATTTTTTGGGAAAAATATGTTTGGCCCCCTCTAGAAAAAAATCCTGGCGACGCCGTTGCCTCTAGCCGCCGTCTGCTAGGGGCTATAGATTCTATTCTGTGGTAGTCAGAAGAAATAAAACAAAGAGGAAATCACGCTGTTTTTGTATGCTTTAATTTATTTTTACTACTAAGTTAATTAATTCATGAGTAAATTAGTTGCATTATTTCTAATGCCCTAAAATTAACCCCATGGCATTGTTTTACATTTATTAAAAGAATTCAGCTGATGCCTTATAATTATAAAACGTATCCACAGTGTCAGTTAATTAAACGCTTACAGAGGGATTCAAATTGTACTCCCAATAGACTCGTTGTACAAACCATTTTAAACCATCCGAGGATTTTTGATTATTTTTTCTACATTTTTGTTTTAATAAATTGAAGCAATTATATTAGAGATTTCCTTTCGGACAAATATTTACGATGGGTCTGAAGTCATCAGCTCATCATGTGCATTTGCTCATTGCTGGTAGTAGCAATTAACTAGTATAAATGAAAATCAATAGTAAATACATGAACAAAATAAACAACAGATTTTTATAATTCTACAGCATGACGCTGAAGCATAGTTATGCGTATCAGATGACATTTTCATCCTCATTGAAATACAATGTATTAGAACTGAAACTTTAAGCACAAAGGACACAAAGCACATTCCAATAGTTCTATGGAAAAATCAACACCCACCAAGATTTGCAGTAAAATAACATGATTGTTAAGTTGATTTTAATTAATTTGCAAACTCAAGTATTTAACCATACTATATAGGTTTTGCCGGATATTTTAACACTTTAACACGAATTCCCTATATAAAATTTAAATTTCGTCCCCGATCATCGCCAAGCTCACTTCTCAATTTGAATTTCAAAAAGCCACCACTAGATTTCATTTAAGGTGCAGTATAATTCAAATTGTTAGCTTTCCGATTCGTCAAAAATCTTTGAAATACGTGTGGTGAAGCAATCGGCGTTGAATTGAAAAAACAAACCAATTCGTTTCTTTTTCTTTTTCATGTTGTTGTCATTACATTTCGTCCCTGGTGACTTAATGCGATAAGAAAA